GAGATTGTTATTACACTGTAAGAGATCTTTGCTGACTGCCCAATAGTGATCTATATACAGGAAAGCTGTGTTATCTGGAACTTTAACAACTGGAATTTTAGAACATCCAACGCAAATCGTGACTCCACTAGACCATTGTACACCAAAGGACCTAATCACAAAGCAGAACACTGGACAACAACGGGATTAACAATATGCTGTTTTCACGGTGGTAAGATAGGAGAAGGGAAGGGGAGGGAAATCAGAAGAGGAACATCACCTGGGTAATAGGAATTAACTCTTAATTAACAACAATTTTAATTAATCTCCACTCTTCCCACTATGCTGGATAAGAAAGCTTTTACTGTATTATCACATCATAGGGAGGAAAGCAAAGCAAGTAACTTGGTGTTAATAGGTTACTTTGCATAGTACCTCTTGGTACCAAGGGAACAAAGAAATCATTCCCATTAGTAAAGCACCTCAAAAGAGGATTGAGAAAAGTTAGATACAAAGAAGTTTTGTTTGTGCTACCCAAAAGTCATCAACTATAAAAAGTTAAAAACACTCCTCTCTTCCCTTAATTACTTAAAATAGCAAAAATGCTTTCTTAGAACAATTTTTATACACACAAACTAAAACATGAAGAGCCAAAAATCCATAAAGTGACTTGCTAAAGCAAATTATGGGGCAGATCTGGACTGAATGTAAAGAATGGATTAAAATGCTAATTTAAAATACACTAGTCTCCCACACATCACCTTCCCCAAAGAAAAGCTTCTGTATGAGCCAGAACAATTTCACAGAATCCTTAAGTCAACATAAAAGGAAAGAGTATCCATGTTCCAAATAATTTACTAATGTTTCTTTGAGCCTCATACTTTCAGTTTAAAGTAATTTATAGTTTAAAAAGAAAAGAAGGCCGGGCGTGGTGGCTCACCCCTGTAATCCCAACACTTTGGGAGGCCGAGACGGGCAGATCACGAAGTCAAGAGATCGAGACCATCTTGGCCAACACGGTGAAACCCCGTCTCTACTAAAAATACAAAAATTAGCTGTAGCCTGGTGTGGTGGCGCGTGCCTGTAGTCCCAGCTACTCGGGACGCTGAGGCAGGAGAATCACTTGAACCTGGTGAGTGGAGGCTGTGGTGAGCTGAGATCATGCCACTGCACTCAGCCTGGCAACAGAGCAAGGCTCTGTCTCAAAAAAAAAAAAAAACAAAAAAAAAAACCCAGAAACGAAAACAAAAAAACAAAGAGAAAAGAAATCACAGAAAAATGTTAAGAACTTTTCACTGTTCTACATACTAATTTAGAGGTCATGAGGATTTTATTATTTTTTTTAATGATGCAAGGCACTTTTCTTTTTTTGGGCTTCATTTAGAAAAAAATAGTGCTACATTGGTTTATTAGATTCTATTTAGAATCATTTTGGACAAAGGGAAAAAGGGCTGGACAACTCTGAAAAGAACAAATACAACATACAGCTTTTACGCCAAAAAAAATGCAAAAAGGAAAGTCACTTGAAAATCTAACACTATCCTTGTTTTTAAGCACTTGGTACTATAAAGCAAAACATCTTCCTTTTAATCATTGAGACTGTAGGTTTTTTTTTTTTTTTATGTAGAATAAACAATTTAGGAAACTAATAGGAAAGGAAGCAATAATTAGATCATGTTAAAGTAAGGATAGCTGATTAGGGTCATGATTTAAAGACTATTAATAAGGGAACAAGAAGTATAAAAAATAAAATAATTAAGCTATTAAGTCATACTAAAAAAGAAATGTGGCAGATTCCTGCATTTTGTTAATGTTTCTGTAAGAGGCCCCATCATAAAATTGAAGTGTAAAATTATGTTAAAAATGTAATATATAACAGAAAAATGAATTTTTAGCAAATCTTAGCAAATTCTTTTGTTATAAATTACCCAAACTTTATAAACAATCCCCCCAACTTGCATTTTGCTTAAAGTAATAACTATATCATACAAATAAATTTCAAGTATGAAAAGTGCATTATTGCAATAATACCTCTTTGCAAGTCCAAAATTCTTGGTTTATAATAAAACTTGTAAAGTGTTTCTTTTTTTTTTTTTTTTTTTAAAAAAAAAAAAAAAAAAAGAGTAAAACCATCAGTGCCATCTATTGCAGAAGTCCAACATCTTAAAATGTTGCTCAACAAATTCCAGAGAAGTATGTCTGGAAGCAACATGTAATTCAAAAAAAAACTTATGTTTTTACCATTTTAAATTATAATTGTCTCTTGTATTTTCTCCTTCCCAAAAAGAAATTCGCACTCTATAATGTTGCTCTTCAATCAGCCATTCTGTGCAGTAGCCACTTGCATGTTTCCAAAATCATCCTCTTCTTCATGTGTTCTCTTCAAACTGCCTAAAAGTTATTGGATAAAGATAAAAAGGGCACTAAAATAAAGTGATGTTAAAATACTACAGTGAGTAAATTTTTTTCATTAAGTGATCATGTGTACACTATGAAAATTCTACAACTGAATTAATAGCAAAATTTAGTAATTTCCTTTGTTATAAATTACCTAAATACTATAACTTTTTAATCTTCATGACAAGATATATTTTCCTTCTCAAATATTAAATATGTCTTAGGTATTGCATACAAAATAAACAATAATTTTTGAAATAGTGTGAAAATAGACCTTTTAAAGAGACAATACATAAATGTTTAGTTATCAAGTTAATTGCTTTTTAGGCATCATAAACATGTAACTTAGGGCATAAAATTTAGGAAATTAGTCTTGTATTTGTATAATTTTTTGTAGATAATCTTTTAGCTTTCACAGAGACTGTTATGAAGAGCAGCTGAAAATACTTTTCCACTGAAGCTATGGAAGTCTAGGTTGGGAGAAAGGAAGGCATGTAGCATATAAAGAGATTTTCTTTTATCTATCCTTCACATCAGCATCTGTTAGTACAGAAATCTCCCACAGAGAATCAAAGCTATCTCTATATCCCCAAAAGTTGTAAGCAAGAAATTAGAATCTCAATGGAGGAAACCTTTAGGGAACAGTTAAACCTCAGAGGATCTGCTGTGTCTTTTGCCTAACAATGGCACAATCTTAAACTTATGCCCTACATGACTGTTACATCATGGTAATAATAATGTTAATTTAGAGGACAGATTCTAATATGAGGTTAATGTTTCACTATAAAATTTATAAAATAAACAAAAATATAGTATCAATACAATTGAATGAGGTAAAATATCCTGGCCCTTAGGCTAAATCCAGATATTGTGATTAAGTTTCAGATGAAGTGCTGTGCTTCTGTGGGAACTCCAAATGTCTAGGGAGGAAGAGTGCATTAATTATCATATCTTTCTGAGGAAATCACATATGAACCACGAAGAGGGAGACTAAACGTGATGCATTTTAGGTGCGGAAAAGAAGACACACAAAGGAAGCCATCAGTAGTTGTTTTCTGAAATGCCGATATAAAGAAGAACAATGAGAGAAAGAAACTGAAAAATCAGAAGGGCCTTTACTACATATAGCATTCTATAAACTTTTGTAGGAATGAAGTCAAAGGAGGCTTTGGCAAAGGAAATATGTCATTATTAGGAATATCTTTCATGGAAATAAGTCTGGCCACAATGTACGGAACAGATCAAATAACAAGAGTCTGGACAGGAGGCAAATCCAGACCTGAACTAGATTGAGGACACTTTTTAAAAAAGAAAGGAATATTAACAATACTGATAAAACAGACCCTATAGGATGTGGAAAGCAATTATTAATTAGATGTGGCAAAGGAAAGAAAAAGTCAAGGATAATTAGAAAGTTGAACCTTGGGGGTGAATATACAGTCGTATTACTCACTATAGGCAGTGCAGTAGAGTACAAAAAGTTCTATACTTGTGGATCAGATCACCTGTCCTCAATTTCCAGGTCAGCGCTAACTAGGTATATAAGTTGTTCTTACTACCTTATATAACTGTTGGCTCAAAGGTTGAAATGAACTGTGGGGTAGAAAAACTGGAAATAAATTAAAAATGACTGTGTGCTTTGGTAGGGGAGAAACAAAGGTGATAAACATCAGTAGCAAGGTCTTGGGAAAGGAAGATTTTTGACAGCATGCTTGGATTAACTTTGAAAATAAGGGGCTTAGGGTACTTCTGAAATAGCAACAGAGGGAAGAAAGGATGGAAATATTGACAAGAGAAAGACAGCTCATATTAGCCACGCTACATGCTGTATTAACCACCTTTTACTTTTAATAAGATCACCTAAGCCGCCCAGGCTGGAATGCAGTGATGTGATCTTGGCTCAATGCAACCTCTGCCTCCCGCTTTCTAGCAATTCTGCCTCACCCTCCCAAGCAGCTGAGACTACAGGTGCATGCCGCTGCACCCGGCTAATTTTTTGTATTTTAGTAGAGACGGGGCTTCACCATGTTGCCCAGGCTGGTCTCGAACCCCCAAGGCTCAGGCAATACACCCGCCTCAGCCTCCCAATATTCTTCTTATTTTAATCTTTACAAAATGGATGTACTACTAAAGAGACCTAAGCTTATTATAACACAGATTTATTCATTATAAAATGAATCCTTTTGAAATAATCTTAGTTTAACAATTTTTTTTTTTTTTTTTTTTTTTTGAGAAGGAGTTTCGCTCTTGTTACCCAGGCTGGAGCGCAATGGCGCGATCTCGGCTCACCGCAACCTCTGCCTCCTGGGTTCAGGCAATTCTCCTGCCTCAGCCTCCTGAGCAGCTGGGATTACAGGCACGCGCCACCATGCCCAGCTAATTTTTTGTAGTTTTAGTAGAGACGGGGTTTCACCATGTTGACCAGGATGGTCTCGATCTCTTGACCTCGTGATCCACCCGCCTTGGCCTCCCAAAGTGCTGGGATTACAGGCTTGAGCCACCGCGCCCGGCCAGTTTAACAAGTTTTCTAAATAATTTAAATTGTTCAGTGTAACCTGTAGCAAGTTCTCCACCTTTCATTATCTTTCTTCCCAAATTTCTCCAAAAAAGAAAAAAATCCTTACCTGTGGTACCAGAATGAACAGATAATGACCTTTCTATCTGGAGTGGTGACATCACCTGTATTGTTAATTTTGCTAGGTAGATGGCTTCATATTCCTAAAAAACAAAAATATTAATTAACTTGATTATACATTTATATTCTTGGAGACCCAAAAGAGTGATTAATGTATATACTGTTGGTATTTTTCATCTAAACTGAAAAATTTGGTGCCATATTGTTTGAAGAGCAATGGAAGTTTAAAATCTCCGTCTCATAAATTCAGAACTACTGATTACTACAAATCAAGTCAGGCTAATAGCCTGCACTATGGTACTGCACATTGAACTGCCAGTCAGTATGGCATTAGCCATGATGACCTCTGACTTCATCTGTTTAAAAAAAGCCCCCTCAAATAAACACCAAAAACCTAAATTGGCAATCCCAATAGTCCTCTGCTTCTAGTTATAGGCAGAAGAATAAAGTCATTTTTGTTTCTCTCTTTTCTGAAAACAGAAAACATTTGATGAAACTAGGAAAAAACCATTACCCTGAAAATGAGAATAATGAGAATTGATCACCAGCTAGGTCAGGACAGTGGTTACCTTTACAGAAGGAGAAAGACTTGTGCTTGAGAAGGGTCAGAAAAAAAGCTTTTGGGGTCCTGGTAAACATTCTGTTTCTGGACTTGGTCAATAGCTACATGGATGCTTATTTACATTTTATGCATTTTCTATATCTGTATAATTCCACAATAAAATTTTCAAAAAGACAGAACCATACTAAGCTAGGCACAACAGATGCCTGCCTCTGTGGGCCAGAGTAGGTACAGTTCATAGCTCACTAAAAAGGGTGACAGACCTAAGATAAAACCAGCAAGCCCTTGCATGGAATGACAAAGTCAGGAAGTATGAATGGCCTATGGGAGAAGGTGGGACATATTAAGGAAAATGTGAACACCTACACCTGCCATTTTTTGCAAGCAGCAGGCTCTACTATTTTTTAGGTATTTTTGTAGCTAAAAATACAAAAATTAGCTGGACAGGATGACATGTGGCTGTAATCCCAGCTACTCAGGAGGTTGAGGCAAGAGAATTGCCTGAGCACAGGAGATGGATGTTCATTTGAAGTGAGCCAAGATCGTGCCACTGTACTCCACTCCAGCCTGGCTCAGAGAAAGAAAGAAAAGAAAGAAAAGAAGGAGGGAGGGAAGGAGGGAAAGAAGGAAAGGAAGGAGGGAGGGAAGGAGGGAAAGAAGGAAAGGAAGAAGGGAGGGAGGAAGATAGAGAGAGAAGAAACTTCAAAACTCTAAAGTACGTATCAGAATTTGGTATAAAATAAAAATGATATTTCAAACCGGGAGGCTACAAATAGATTTCTGTAACATAAAAAGAGCTCTTACAAACTGGTGAGAGGAACACCAACAAATGATTCACAGAAGAATAAATACAAATAACCCAAACATGGGAAACTAAATGAATGGGAAGCAAATTAAAGCCCTAAGGAATTGCCAATTTTACTACCATAACAGCAATGATCAAAAAAATCTGATAAAACATTTTTGGGCTAGGAGTGGTGGCTCATACCTATAATTCCAGCACTTGGGGAGGCCAAGGAGGGTGGATCACCTGAGGTCAGGAGTTCCAGACCAGCCTGGCCAACATGGTGAAACCCCATCTTTACTAAAAATACAAAAATTAGTCAGGCATGGTGGTGCACAGCTGTAATCCCAGCTACTTGGGAGGCTGAGGCAGGAGAATTGCTTGAACCTGGGAGGTGGAGGCTGCGGTGAGCAGAGATGGTGCCATTGTACTCCAGTCTGAGTGACAGGGCAAGACTGCATCTCAGAAAAAAACAAAACAAAACCACTTTTGGCCACTGTTGTTAATTAGGGTAGGAGGAAATGGGCACTCCTTGTTTCCTGGTGGTATAAGTTTATATTATTTCACATCTATCAAATTTCAAATGCACTGGATGGAACCCAGCAATTCCACTTCAATTACCTTACAGGTACATTCACACAGGTATACAAAGATGTACCTATCAGGATCTTTCCAATATTCCTTATAATCATGAAAGACTAGAAATAACTGAAAGGTCCTTAAATAAGAAACCACTCATAAAATTGTGAGAGATCTATAATTAAAATATTACGCAGGCAGAGTTATTTCTGCTGTTATAAGATAATCTTCAAGATATACTATTAAGGAGACTTACCTTATACTGTATTCTCTTTAGGTACTGCTCAACTTTTATTTTATTTTTTTTATTTTTTGAGACAGAGTCTTGCTCTTTCACCCAGGCTGGAGTGCAGTGGCCCGACCTCTGATCACTGCAATCCTGACCCCCTGGGTTCAAGCGATTCTCCTGTCTCAGCCTCCCAAGCAGCTGGGATTACAGGTATGCATCTCCAGGCCCGGCTAATTTTTTGTATTTTTAGCAGAAATGGGTTTTCACCATGCTGGCCAGGCTGGTCTTAAACTCCTGACCTCAGGTGATCCACCTACTTTGGCTTCCCAAAGTGCTTGGATTACAGGCATGAGCCACTGCGCCAGGCCAATTTTCTTAAACATACACATATACTTCTCTTTGAAATACAAAAATTAATTTTAAAAGAGAATGTTTGTACACATTTAAAAATAAGAGTATAAATGGATTGTTTGTAACACAAAGGATAAATGATTGAGGGAACGGATATTCTGTTTTTCCGCGGTGTGATTATTACACATTGCATGCCTGTATCAAAATATCTAATGTACCCATGACTATATAACCTACTATGTACCCACAAAAAAGAAAACCTTAAAAAAATTTTTTTAAAATAAAAAAAAAAAAAGAATGTTTTATACAACATGGTAAAAGGCAAAGAAACTTATAAAGTTAGAAGACAATCATTTTACATGAACAGGCTCAACACAGATGCCACTGTTTCTCTTTGGGATGCAGTAAAAATGAAAAGTAAATTAAACATTAAAATGAATTTTAAAACTTGGTAACTGCAATATATTTTTAATAAATATTCTTGATGTCGAAACATGAGCTTTATTCCTGCATAGCTGGATATAATCAGCCAGAGCACATTCTGTAGCCTATGATTTTGCCTCTAGGAATAAACTGAATAACCTGGTCTAATCAGGCTAATTCACAGGTTTATTGTCTTTCAGTGCCTCTGCCAGACATGAACAAAATATGAAACAACATGGAAAAGATAAACATAGAATAGAAAAAGCTGTTATAGTTAGTATACTTGGAATCAAAACTCTCTTATGCTCTGTGATCAAAATAAAGAAAAAAATAGACATTTCTAACACCAATTATTTTACGTAAGTTTTGATAATGTGTCTTTAACCCTTTTTTCTTGGTAATGTCAGCTTTTTAAGAAAAAATTTTTTTAATTTTTTAGGGCTGTGGTCTCACTCTGCCTCACAGGCTAGAGTGCAATGGCACAATCACTGCCCACTATAGCCTCAAACTGCTAGGCTCAAGCGACCCTTCCACCTTAGCCTCCTGAGTAGCTGAGACCACAGCCATGCACTGCCATGACTGGCCAATTTTTTTCATTTTTTTATTTTTTAGAGATTGGATTTTGCTTTGCTGCCCAGGCTCATCTCCTATTTCTGACTTCAAGTGATCCGAATGCCTTACCCACCACACCCAGCCACAAAAATACTTCTAAATAGAGATATATACTTGAATAAAGAATCAAAGTAGTCAGATTATGGCAATTTTAAGTATTTACAAAGTAAATTGTACACCTAAATTTTATGTGCAAAAGATTTTATATCTTACTTTCTGACTACCTTAAAGAGGAAGAAAAGAGAAGTTACCTGAAGTTGATGGACAAATCCAGCATTAGGATTAATACAAAATCTTCTTTCTTGAACATAAGCAAAAGCATCTCTGAAAACAAAAAAAGAAAATTAATGTGATAGCATTCTTTAATGAATTAATCATAATCATACAACTTAACAATAGAGAGGGGTAACAAGTTGTAATGGAAAAAGCATCACAATTTCCTTGCTCACCAGCTATAAGCATACAGCAGCTTGTTCAACTTCTCTAAGCCGTATTTTGTCCATTGGTAAAATGAAGAGTATAATAATACCTATTTTGGGGAACTACTATGAATAGGAGATTAAGTATAAAGTGGCCAGGTACAGTGGCTCATACCTGTAACCCCAATCCTTTGGGAGGTCAACACAGGAAGATTGCTTGAAGCCAGGACTTTCAGACCAGCCTGGGCAATTTAGCCAGACCCCATCTCTACCAAAAAAAACCCCTAAAAATTAGCTAGGCATGGTAGTGTGGCATAGTCCCAGCTTCCTGCGAGGCTGAGGTGGGAGGACTGCTTGAGCCCTGGAGTCTGAGGCTACAGTGAGCTATGACTGTGCTACTACATTCCAGCCTGAGAAACAGAGAAAGATCCTATCTCTAAAATAAATAAAATGTAAGCATTTTGTGTATATACAAGTTAAAGCTCAAAATATTATCACTGGTTAAAGAAGCTTAGATTCCTTTCGTTGTTGTGAGGCTTAAATGAGATAAAAGTGCCTATAATAGTACTGAGCTCATAGCAGAGACCCAATAAATCCAAGTTATTTCCAACATTAATGTTCTGACAAGATTTCAAATAACAAAACTTTATAAAACGTAAAGTCCATCAATACATGTTCAATCTTTTTTCCATTAAATAGACAAAGATCTGTATTCAAATAATATTCCTTTCAGAATAGATATCTTTAAGCAAAGTTTTCCATTCTAATTTAAATATAAAAGGAAACTGAAATAGAGGTGTCAATCATTACTGTAAGATTTCTAACTTGTAAAAAAGACAAACTGAGAAAGGAAATACTGTACACTGGTGAGGCTTTTGCTTTGTCTTGGGGCAAGAAGCTCATGACCATCCCCTATCTTTTAAAAAATTTATATAGGATGCTTGGAAAAGATGATTTTTGATAAGAAAGACTACTCTGAATTGTGGATAGATGTTACCAACGATTCTTAGGTAATTTTTCATCCAATTATTGTTAAAGGAGAACATAATACATTCGCCTTTTAAATAAAGCAAGCACTAACATTTGTGTACAGGAGTTTTTATACTCAGACCAACTAATTCCCTTTGGGTAAGTAAGTAGTTTTTCGTAGGATTTCCTTATTAGCCTATGCATATCTATATAGATAGATAAATTAGGTTGAGACTAACCATGGAATAAGGGCCTGCCTAATCAAACATAACTACATGAGAAATAATCAGGGGAATAGGAACTTCAAACTTGCAAACCATTTCTATTAAGCTTCATTTTAATGAGAATTTAAACGTGGCTAGGTTTTAGGGTATTTTCTTACCTGTACTTCATTCCAAATGTTTCCATAATGTATGCAATAACAAAGGCTGCACTGAAGAAGGGAAAACAATTTTAGAAAAAATAAGAAAATACAACTCGGTAATTAAATGTTACAGAAAGAAAGATTATTTCTAACATCATACCTTCTGGAGATCCCTGCATTTCCATGCACAAGAACTTTTCCTGAAAAACATGAATTAGTTATTCAAACAGAAAACCACCTGGGTCAGCAGCTGAAATATGTTGAAACCACAGTAAAGTAACTCTTTCCTTAAATATTTTATATCATATACTATAACCACTTGGATATTAATTTTCAAATCTTTACAGTTTCTTAATATTAACTGTGTAGAGAATAGAGGAGAATCTTTAAACTGAAAGCTCACAGAGGATTTGAAGACAATCTATAGGGATGCTCTAGAAAGCCTATCCAAAGGAAACAAGTAACTGGGAAAACACAAATTGGGGGGTAAGCTACTACATATAAATCTAACTTTCATATCCTGCATTTAAGACAAATACCAACTAAAAAATTAACACATAATCTAAATATAATTATTAGCTAAGTAAAGGAAATATTATTTACCTCCTGTTTGTAAGCTCCCATCAATAAATTCCTTAGTCTGGAGGCAAAAGACATGTGGATTCACGTAAGCATAAAATAAACGCATATAATGAAACCTATTGAAAACAATTTCCTCCTACTTTACATGTATAAAAATTATCTTCATCCACAAATTTACAAAATGGTACAAATAGAACAAGTCCAAAAAAATTACAGAAGCCAAAATTTAATTTGAATCTAATAAAGTCAAAATACGATTCCTCAAATTTTTGGAGATCATAAAAAAATTTTCTACTTATTTTCTTTATAATATAATCATATAATTTTCAGTCACAGCAAAGTAAAAGTCATAAGTTTCAGAAGCACAATTAAGAGTTCAAATGATAAATAAATTTTAAATGATATTTTAAAAATATTGGTACCTACCATAGGGAAAAAACGTATTATGTTTTCAACTGGATTATCTGCAATATCCAGGACTAAATATCTGAAAATAGAGTATTTTGTGATAAGCACACTTTAAGTAAAACAGTTAATGTATTTCTAAAAAGTAACTCATTATTTCTTGGTAACCATGACAAGAATGCAAAACAACTTTCAAAGTATCATATAGCCAAGAACTGTGTGGTAGATTTTATATTGCTTGAAGGCATAGCATTTAAAACCTGAAATGTAATATTAACATCTCTGATATTTTATTATTTAAAAAAATCCATCAGAGTGGGCAGAGTGGCTCATGCCTGTAATCCCAGCATTTTGGGAGGCCAAGGTGGGAGAATCACTTGCGCCCAGGAATTCAAGACCATCCTGAGCAAACAAAGGGACACTCCATCTTTATAAAATACTCTCTGAGTGGTCCTGTGACCCCTGCTCATAACCTACAGAGGACATTTCAGAGGAAGTCCAAAGTCTAAAAAAGAAGAAACTAATAAAAACAGAAGGCATGGTCTACAGAACCATGAGTCAAACATTCACTTTTGAACTAATCTTCAGTAAAGCAAAAAAAAAAAAAAAAAAAAAACTAAACTAAGCTAAACTAAAACTAGCTGAGAGAGGACCTGTCCTGAATTTTATACTTTACAAAATACTTAAAATAGGGCATTTTTAATTTGCTGGCTTATTTTATTTTGTAAAAAAACTTCCATTTCTAACCTAAGATCACTGTTTATTAACACAACTATAGGTAATTAGCTAAGTGATTAGTTTTAAGGACAATTTTGCATTAAAAATTACAGTTCTTCAACAAATCACTTAAGTGGTAACAACTTCAAAAAATTGAGGACTTTAACACAGAGAATCTGAGAGGTTGGACGTGGTGGCTCACGCTTGTAAGGTGAGCACTTTGGGAGGCCAAGGCAGGCAGATCGCCTGAGGTCACAAGTTCAAGACCAGCCTGGCCAATATGGTGAAACCCCATCTCTACTAAAAATACAAAAATTAGCCAGGCATGGTGGCGCATGCCTGTAATACCAGCTATTCGGGAGGCTGAGCAGGAAAACTGCTTAAACCCAAGAAGCGGAGGTTGCAGTGAGCCGAGGTCGGGCCACTGCACTCCAGCCTGGGTGAAAAAGCAAGATTCTGTATCAAAACAACAACAGAAAACAAGAGAAGTTGAACCTCAGGATCTAAGGAAAATCCAATATTTTACCCACAAGAATTTCCACAATCACTGTATCCTCAAGTGATTGGGTATTCTAGTTACATAAAACAATGCTTCAGGGAAAAAATGTTAACTCAGAATGAAACTAAAATATTGTAACACATACCATTTTTAGTGTCAAGAGTCACTAGTAGAACTATCAATCTCTAAGAAGCTAGTAATGTAAAAGTTTAAGAAGAAATGGTTCTTCCATCAGGATAAAGACCCTGCACCAACAATATTGTTATTTAAAACAAAAATTCTGTACAAACTAGAAATGTATAGTATGATTTTTTAACTGTTTTTTCTTAAGATTAGTTTCAACTTCTATAGTTTGATATTATAAAATACAAGTCTATTTTCTTTAATAAATAACTCTATGCGTATATACAGAAATACACATACACAACAGAGAAAGACTTAGAAGGAAATATGTCAAATGTTAACTAAAGCATTTTCTCTAGATTGTGGAATTGTGGATGATTTAAGTATTTTTCCTCCTGGTGTCATTCTGTACCTTCCAAAATACTTATAAGAATAAGTGCTTTATGGCCAGGTGAAGTGGCTCATGCCTGTAATCCCAACGTTTTGGGATGCTGAGGTGGGCAGATCGCTTGAACTCAGGAGTCCAGCCTGGGCAACATAGCGAAACCCCATCTATACAAAAAATTTTTAAAAATTAGCCAGGTCTGGTGGTGTGCACCTGTGGTCCCAGCTACTTGGGAGGCTGAGACGGGAAGATTGATTGAGGCTGGGAGGTCAAGGCTACAGTGCACAGAGATCACACCACTGCAATCCAGCCGGGGCGATGGAGAGAAATCCTGTCAAAAAAACAAACAAACAAAAAAAAAAAAACCTGGGCACGGTGGCTCACGCCTGTAATCCCAGCACTTTGCGAGGCCAACGTGGGTGGATCACGAGGTCAGAAGTTCAAGACCAGCCTGACCAATATAGTGAAACCCCATCTCTACTAAAAATATGAAAATCAGCCAGGTGTGGGGGCACGTGTCTATAGTCCCATCTATTCCGGAGGCATTGACAGGAGAATTGCTTGAACCTGGGAGGTGGAGGCTGCAGTGAGCCTAGATTGTGCCATTGCACTTCAGCCTGGGTGACAGAGTGAGACTCCATCTCAAAAAAAAAAAAAAAGTATTTCTTTCCTAATTATAAAAATATTCAGTGTTTTGGGATATTCCGTTTTAATAGTTTTAATAAACTAAATATACTTAAAAAAAATTCTAGGGAGTTCCTTCTTTCAGCTTGGAGCACCCCTCCCTCTAGCTCTATACAGCGGAGCCTCTTCCTTCTTGCCTATTAAATTGTCTGCTCCCTAAAACCACACACACACACACAAAAATTCTAACACTACAAAAGTATATAGAGTCAGCCTTCTGTATCCAAGAAGTTCACACTTGTGGATTCAACCAATGATGGATCAGAAACATTAACAAAAAATAAGGTAAAAAATAATACAACACTAAAAATAATATAAATAAAATCCAACACTATTCACACAGCACTTACATTGCGCTATTATAAGTAATCTAGAGATGATTTGATGTTTATGGGAGGATGTGCACAGGTTGTATGCAAATACTATACCAGTTTATATAAGGGACTTGAGCATCTGAGGATTTTTGTTAACCGTGGGTGTTCCTGGAGCCAATCTCCCAAGAAAACCAAGTGTACAGTGAAAAATACGTCCTTCAGCTGGATGTGGTGGCTCACGTGAGTAATCCTAGCACTCTGGGAGGCTAAGGTGGGTGGATCACAAGGTCAGGAGTTCAAGACCAGTCTGGCCAATACGGTGAAACTAAAAATACAAACATGGCCCAGGCTGGGCGTGTGCCTGTAGTCCCAGCTACTTAGGAGGCTGAGACAAGAGAATCACTTGAACCCAGGAGGCAGAGGTTGCAGTGAGCTGAGATCGTGCCACTGCACTCCAGCCTGCGTGACAGAGCAAAACTCTGTATCAAAAAATAAAAAGAAAAGAAAAACAAGTCCCTCTAACATAATAGGCCCTGAATTTTCCTTCGTAGAAGCAGTCACTATGAAGTTTCTAGTCGGTTGGTCCAGAAATTTTCAAAGTAT